AGCAGATACATTTCTTTACAAAAATCTACAACTTTTCAAGGTGAATAGAACAACTGAACATAAGATACCCAAGTCAAACTAATATTTCCCAATTCATACACCTAAGACACAGAAAAACATTGTGGAAGAGGGGGTAGAAAATTGGCAAGAATCAAAGTACCAAGATTTCTGCTGTGACATAATGTTTTCTATATATAACAGGGAGGCTGCATCCATTAAATTTTAACAGTATAGTTGCCCATAAATGACTTGTACAATGACAACGCCAACTGATACACTCATGTCAATGGGGGAAGAGCTCTGTGCAATTCACCGCTGTTGAGAGAGAGTAAATTTTCTTCATGGATGACTCCTCTGATGTCAAGTGTGTGTGTGTGTGTGTGTGTGTGTGTGTGTGTGTGTGTGTGTGTGTGTGTGTGTGTGAACAATACTAATCAAAGAAGGTTTGAAAGGAGTTGGGAGAACACTGGAAAAGTCTGTTGGCAAAGATGGGGAAGAGGTAAAATGAGTAAATTTAAGACATATGAAATTGTCAAAAATATAGTTGCAATCAAATTTGGACTGTGCTATATATTTGATACTAAAATGACATTACTTCTTGGGGAAAATAATATAAAAAAAGTTATGGAGTAACAGTTATTTGTTAGTGTGTCAAGTTGACAAGAGGTTAATTATGCTAGTTAGTTTTATCAAACATGAAAAAAAAAACTAGAGACATGGGAGGGAGAGAGAAGCTTGGTTGAATGATATTCTCCAAAAGACTTGTCTGTGGGTAGGTCAGAGGGGCATCTTCTTGATTGATGGTTGATGATGGAAGACCTAGCACTGTGGGCTGTAACAGATGGAACTGGACTATTTAAGAATGGTACATTAACAAACAGGGAGAATGTAGCCATCAGACTGTTCCACTGTGATATTTTCCTAGGTTCTTGCCTTGGGTTCATGCCTTACCTTGCTTTTATGATGGACTGTGACATACTTCCCAAGACACTCTTTTTGCAGAGAGTTTTGTTATAGGAATGGAAAGAAAATTAGAACAATGAATAAGCATTTAGTTCTTTCAAATTATCCAATATTGCACAGGCACCAAAAATCAAGTGCAAATATACCTATAATGATTTTTGTTTAAATGTTTATATTGACAATTAGCTCATGATTTTTTAGATTTTTCAATATTCAGTTCACTGGACTATATAACATAAAACCTAGTTTTATTTTTGTCGAGAAAGCATCATAATCTTACTAAAGTAATGTATTTATTTCTGTTTTCCTATAGACACATCAGCTCAGTATCTTTCATGGCAATTATACTACTCTACTGCTAAAACCAAAACCAAAAAAAAAAGGAGAATGAGGAAGAGGAGGAAAATAGGAAGAAAGAAGGAAGGGAAGAAAGAAGAAAAGCAAGGAAGGAAAGGTTGGAGGGAAAAAGGGTAGGAGAGAGGAAGAAACAGAAAATTTAAGGTATTTTTATATTATCTTTTAAATTCATAATATTGGACACCCTTAATATTATTTTTCAGAATTTTATTTTATTTTATTTGTTTATTTTAGATCCCAACTGAAATTTCTTCTGCCTCCTCTCCTCCCAGTCCTTTCCCCACCTCCCCTTTGTTCCCACCACCAATCATCCCCACATTCACTTATATTCAGAAAGGAGCAGGCTTCCCATAGATATCACCAAACAAGGCATATCAAGCTTCAGTAACTAAGCACCTCTCCTTGTGTTAAAACTGAACAAGACAAGCCAGTATGAAGAGTAGGATCCCCAAAACCAGCAAAGGAGTTAAAGACACCCCCTGCTCCCACTGGTAGTAGTCCCACAAGAATACCAAATTGTACAATTGTCACATATGTGCACAGGGCATAGGTTGGTCCCAGCAAGGCTCCCTCAGTGTTGATTAAGTCTCTGTGAGCTCCCCTAAATCCAAGTTAGTTGATTCTGTGAGTTTTCTTGTGATGCTCTTGATCCTTTGGCTCTAACATCCTTCCCTCCCTTTCTTCAGCAGGATTCTCTGAACTGAGCCTAATGGTTGACTGATGGTTTCCTTCAGTTGCTCAGTGAAGCCTATGTGATGACTGTTGTGCTAGGCACCAATTTATGAGTATAACAGAACAACATTAGGAATTGACATTTTTCCAGCAGTGTTTAGTTGTATTCTAGATCTGTTGGCCATCCAGTCTCAGGGTGCTGGAGCTCAAGGCAGTGTTTGGTGTGGGCTAACTATTGGGAGATGGGTCTGAGCATGGATCAATCATTGGTTGACTACTCCAAAAATCTCTGTGCTACCTTTACCCCAGCATATGCCCATAGGCAGGACAGACTGTAAGTCAAAAGATATGTGGTTGGTTGGTGTCCCAATTTCTACAATTGGATGATGACAAGAGATGAGCATTTCAGACTAAGTGTCCCCTTTTTCTTGGAGTCTTAACTGGGGTCATCTTTACAGATTGTTGAGAGTATCACTTGAACCAGGTTTCTCCCTTTTCCTGCCCTCTCTTTCAGTACTTTCTCCCTCTATCTCTTCCCTACCTAATCCAGTATACTTAGGTGAACTTTTTTTTTAGATATTTCTTTAGAATTGCTTGAATCAGTTTTAAAATGCTCTAATTCATTTTCCTGCTTTTACTATTTGGTGGCAATTAAATAATAAAACAGTTTTGATTTCACATGCTAAAACTGCAAAGAGAATTTGATGTCAAATGTTGAAATGAGGGAATGAAAGATGCAGTTGATCAAAACACACTATAGACATGTATGCAATTCTCAAACAATATAAATAAATATATAAATAAATGAAAATATTAAAAAACTAGTAGGTATGAATTGAAAAATTGTGGTCTTCTTTCGAATTTTGAAATTGTTTATATAAACTTAGTATTGTATGTAGCCCCAAAGAAATAAACATTTATTTTTAGTAGCTGCATGTACTCTATTAAATAATTTTTTGTGGTTTAATTGTTATTTTTGTTATTTAGAGGACAATATTTCTAAAAACAAAGTAAATGTGGAATGAGAAGAAAATGGAAGGTTGATGTTGATGGCCTTTCTCAACTACTCTTTTATATATATTGAGCAGGGTTTCTCTTTGAAACTAGAGCTCCCCATTTGGCTGATCTGACTAGTCTTGTTGTTTCTAACATTCCCTTTCTATGATAAGTTTCAGAATTATTTGCAGGTTATTATTCTCATTCAAATTTTACCTAGATTATCAGGATCCAAATCTTACCCTCATGGTTTCACAGTAGCACCATCTCCCTGGTCCTAATTTATAATTTGTATATACACACCCATGAAATCATATTTCATGAATTGATACTTATTTTCTGAAGGAAATTAATTATAATGACAGATAAGGGTCCTCCCTGACCCAGAGGGCCAGCAAATAAAAAGCCCAGCTGCTAGGTAAAAGTTACCTCTACTTTGAATTGTTGATAATTGGGGTCACAATAACTTTTACCTTATGGTAAAAGCCTATCTTGTAATCATTCAATTCTATAATATTAGTGAATAAAATTACATTCTATTGCATATGGTAATGCTAGAAAGTATGCTTACTTTCAATATTATTAGTTGCCTTTTCACTGTTCCATCCAAATACTTAACAAGAAGCATTTTTAGGGAAGAAAAATAACAGACAGAGAACATCTCTGCTGTGTTTAATTATTGCATCACAGAGTGCCTTTTTACAATGTGTGCCCAGTTTATAACTACTTATGATGCCATGCACAGATTATAGTCAAATCAAATCTTGTTAAGTAGTTGAGGATTGACTAAAACCATCAACAAATATAACAAATCTGAGGCTCTATTTGTTCTCTGTTGTGGTAACAGGCAACATGAAGGACTTTTGTTGTGACTCAAAAAACCTCTGGAAGATAGATGCAAAGACTTAAGATTCTAGAATTAGGTTAGCAGATAAAAATAATGGTTTAAATTCCAAAACATAGGTGACTGAAAGGCCTGTGAAGTGGATGATAGAGATTTTGCAGAGATGCAGAACATGTAAGACAATGACAAACCTGATATCTCATTTTAAAATTTAGACAGATGTGGAAAACACCTTTGCCCTGTTATCATCTATATCATAAAAGTTTAATTTATAATAACATAACTAATTTAAATAATTGTGTTTCGCATTAAAAAAAATTCTTAGGTAAACTACTGGTGCTGGCTAGTTTTCTAACATTTTGACAAATGCCAGAATTGGTTTTTTGTTTGTTTGTTTGTTTGTTTGTTTATTTGTTTTTTGGTTTTTCAAGACAGGGTTTCTCTGTGCAGTTGTGCGCCGTTCCTGGAACTCGCTTTGGAGACCAGGCTGGCCTCGAACTCACAGAGATCCACCTGGCTCTGCCTTCCGAGTGCTGGGACTAAAGGCGTGCGCCACCACTGCCTGGCGCCAGAATTGTTTTGAAGACAAAAACTCAATTGAGAAAATGCTTCCACAAGATTGGCCTATAAAAAAGCAGACTCATTTTTTTGATTGATGATTTATATGGGAGGACTCAGCTTAGTGTGGCAGTGACATTCAACTCCAGCTGGTAGTTCTGTGTGCTATAATTAGGAAGGCTGAGCAAATCCTTTGGAACAAGTCATTAAGCAACACTCTCCTCCATGGTTTCCACTCTAGTTCCTGTCTTGGTTTGCTGCCCTGAAAACATTCAGTGATTATGATCTTCAAATTGTAAGATGAAATAAACCTTTTCATCTTAAATTGTTTATACTTATGATGTTTCATCACAGCAAAAAGAAATCCTAAGTACATTATTCAACTTAGCAATATTACATTTTCCAAAAAATACATTAAATAATTTAAGTATCACAATCTATCTTGATTGAGTTAGTAATAGTTTTAAGTGAAATTATAGAGGAGGAGAATTGGCAAAATAATTTCTAAGTTTACTTTAAAAAATTCTAAGTCTTTGTGTAGCTGGTGACAAAGTCAAAAATCTTACATTATCATTTCAAATGTTCTCCCGCCATAAGCTTATATATTTGAACATAAAAATACTTGTCTTTTCTGCACTTAATTCAGAGCATTGTATCACTGAGGTTGTAGAACTGGTAACAAATGGGCCTTCATATATAATATTAATAGATTAATGTTACTGTTTTTGACAGTGGTTTGTAAAAAACACAAAATCCATATACCATTGTCAAAAGCAACAACATTAATCTATCATTTTCATGAACTTCACATTCTTAACCCAACAACAATACTAAAGACACTTTGTTAAGTAACACAATGATGTCAAGTGTTTTTTTTTAGATTAAGACTAACATTTTATTTGTGCATGTGACTATAATCATTTAGTTTGAAAAGAGCATTATAATCATGTTATTGCCCTCATTCTTATCTAATCTTTGTATATTAATAACTTTCACTTTGTTCTGACATACCAAATGTCCATCCTTATAAAAGGTGCTTTGTGCTTGTTTGTTTTTCACTTTTATTAGACTTTTTAAAGAATTTCAGATAATGTATTTATTATATTTACCCCAAACTTCTCTTCCTTCAATTCCTCCAACTTCCCAAGTCACCAATCTGTATGGTCTCATTTCTTCTTTTTTAAATTTATCAAGTTAAGTATGTGTTTCCCATATACTTTTGAATATAGGGTCTTCCTCTGATGCATGGGCAACACAGCAGTCAACAAAATTTTAAAGGAAACAAACTCTCCCATTCCCTGCAACTATCAACTTCAATAAATATTTAGCTATTTGTGGGACTTTGTGCCCAGCTCATCTTCCTATGTTAGTATTTTTCTGTCTTGAACTTGAGCAGGAACATATAAACTGAGGTGAGTTCATATGTTTTACTATCCTGTTATGTCCAGAAAAAAAAAAGTTCCTTCTGCAATCCATGTAACCTGGAACACACTGTACAACTTATAGGCCATTCAACATATTGGAGAGTGTTGTTTTTTGGTTGCTTATTTAGTAAAAGCCTCCTTCCAGGCTGCTGGGATTCCATGAGAATATTCTTCTAAACTTGTCGTCAGAAAGTGAATCTCAGCAGTATTTACTACTTAAGAAATTTTGGGGAGAAAGAGGCCTAATGAATCTGGACAGTTTCAGGGATTTCCTAGAACTATTTTAAGTTGCTGTTTACTTCCACTCTTTAAAAAAAATATTCATTTTACATACCATCCACAGCTCCCCCTCTCATCACTCCTCCCATTCCCCCCACCCCTGCCTATTCCTCCCATCCACCCTTCATCCCCTTCTCCAAAAGAGTAAGGGGGGACAGGAAAGCCTGGTACATTCAGTTCAAACAGGATGCAGCCCCACTCCCCTGCCTCAAGGGTAAGAAAGGTGTCTTATCATATGTAACGGGATCCAGAAAGACAGATCATGAACCAGGGATAGATTATTCCAGGGACACCCCCCCAATAGACCCAGCTACACAACTGTCTCCCATATGAGGAGAATCTAGTCTAGTCTCATGCAGGTTCCATAGCTGTCAGTCTAAAATTTGGGAGTTCCTATGAGGTTGGTTCAGCTGTCTTTGTAGATTTCCCCATCATCATCTTGACCCTTCTTGCTCATATAATCCTCTTTCCTTCTCTTCAACTTGACTCCTGGAGCTCAACCTGGTGTTTGGTTGTGGATCTCTGCATCTGCTTCCATCAGTTACTGAATGAATGCCCTATGATGACAGAATATTCACCAATCTGACTACAAGGGTAGGCAAATTCAGGCACTCTCACCACTATTGCTAGTAGTCTAATCTGGGGTCATCCTGTGGATTCTTGGGAATTTCCCTAGGACTAGGTTTATCCCTTACCCGGTAATGTCTTCCTCTATCAAGATATCTTTTTCATTGCTCTCCCACTCCATTCCTTCCCCTCATGTTCTCATGCACCATTCCCTTCCCTCTATTGTTCCCCCTCATATCCAATTTAGTCTTAGTGATCTCCTCTGTTTCCCCTTCCCAAGATGATCCATACATCCCTCTAATGGCCCTCCTTTTTTCCTAGCTTCTCTAGAGCTATGGGTTGTAGTCTGATTGTCCTTTGCTTTACATCTAGTATCTACTTTTGAGTGTGTACATAGTATATATGTCTTTCTGAGTCTAGGTTACCTCATTCAGGATGCTATTTTCTAGTTCCATGGATTTGCCTGCAAATTTCGTGATAAGCTTTTTTATAGGATGGGATATTTCTATCTCAGAGGACACTGCTACATAGCAATGCCCAACTGTGGTATAGCTAGATCATGTAGATCTATGTGTAGCTTCTGAAATAATCTCCAAAACTGGTTGGTTTCCCTAGTTGTTTCATCATTTTGAAAGAGCACAAGCAGTGAATGAGTTTTGCCCTTTTGCCACAACCTTGCCAGAATCTGTTAATCTGTTTTTTTTTTTTTGCTTTTGTTTTTGTTTTCTTTTTCTTTCTTTCTTTTTTTTTTGTCTTAGCCAATTGGATTGATTAAGAAAGAAGAAATCTCAAAATAGTTGCAATTTTCATTTACTTGATAGTTAAAATTGTTATGTTTTGTTTGAATCTGAGCCAGCCATTTGTATTTTTATCTTTTGAGAGCTCTCTTTAATTCCATGTCCTATTTTAAATGTTAATGTTAAGGTTTTTGTTCTTGTTTCTCATTGTATATTCTTGATAACAACCATTTGTTTGATGTATAGTGTCAGAGCCTGCTGACAGTCAGCTGGCTATCTGGGCAGAGGTGTGAAGATTGTAGAAACAATGAAGACAGAACAGAGTTGAGAGGACTGCCAGTCAATGCTGAAGAGTTGCGAGTTTATTTCACAGCCATCTTGTATACAGTCTTGAAGGACAGAAGTAGAACAATGCAAAGCATAGGCATTCAACCACTGTCTATCCTGTCCTAGAGACAAGGAGCAGGCAGCCTCATTTTCTATCTCAAAGTAACTCCAGCTGGCATCAGCAGCCTGCATCTACCTAGAGAGTATGTTTCTTCCCATGGACCAATCAGGACTTTCTCACAGCCCTGGTTCCAAACAAGCTTGAATTCTATTGACTCAGATTAGACTTCAGATTCAAACTGGAAAACTGAGTCAGTTGTGGGCTCCCTTAGTATAACTAGTATATATGTTTCCACTCTGCTGGCTGTCTCTTCACTCTTGCGGTGGTATTATTTGCTGTATATATTATTTTAGTTTTATGAATGAATGAGGAAAAAAGAAATAAAATGGAAAGGAAGGACATTATTGCCCCTGGTTGTGGTGAAGGAAAAAGTTTATTGTAGATAAAAGGAATAGCATAGCCAGGGGCAGAGACATCTGGGAGAGTCCTGGGTAAACATGACCCTGAGACATGGAAGGAAAGCAGTAGGAGAAAGGAGTTGCTAAGAGGGTCAACCTGGCCCAAAGACTGAACAAAATGGCTGAATTGTACATGGAAGTAAAGCTGGGCAAAGGCAATTCAGCCCTTGGGCTGGAGAAGTTCGGGGGGGAGGGGTCTAACAGTCATACCCTGTAACAGGTAGGGAGTGAGGGAGCATGGAATAACTTGGCAGCCAGGTCAACTGTGATATGTTATATAGGAACCTCAGAAATTTTTCACAGCATTGCAGACTTAACAATGGGATCGCAATTTTTGGCCTATTTTCCTGTGTTGTCAAGGTCTTGTTTAGAATGTTCTTTCCTATTTCAGTAAGTTCAATCACAATCTCTATTTTTCTCCTTTAGCAGAATCAAGTTTTATGTTGATTTCTTTGATCCATTTTGAGTTAGGTTTTGTCTAGAATTGCAAATAAGGATCTAGGTTTCTTTCATTCTAGTTTCATTTCTTTACATGAATCTATGTAGTACAACTGGCTCCATTTGTTGAAAAGCCCGTGTATTCTCCATCAACATGAATTGTTAGTGTCTTCATCAAAAGTAAGGTAGAGATAGGTGACAAAATCTAAGCCCTCTCCACAACAGAAACTTTCTAAAAGTTATTACTCATCTACCAGATATTCTGCCTACAAGCAGCGTATTTACTTGGGATATTCACTTATTCTGCTGTCAATTGGTATTCTGAAAATTGCCATAGCAGATTTCCCCACTTGCCTAAAGAAGAAATGTAGATCTAGAAATTATGTTATGTTAATATATTTGCTATTTATCAAGAAATACTATGTTATTTGATTTGAAAATGACTTCCAATCCAAATAATCTATAAACCTCTATTCGTTAATCATTCTCTTTTAGGTAAAATGGATTAGTACTGTAGTTTCATTTCTGTTGCTGTGATAAGTGTTTTGACAAAACACAACATAAGGGAGAAAAGAGTTGATTTGGCTTTCAATTTCACATTATGGTCCTTCATTTTAAGGAACTCAGAGAAGTATGAACTACAAACATTTGCCATACCACACCCACAGAAAAGAATAGAGGGAAATGAATGCACCCATGCTGCCTGCTTCTTGCCTCAGCTTCCTCAATTCTTACACAGACCAAGGCTCAGGAAATGATATTGTGCTGCACATGTTCAGGGTGAGTTTTCCCATCTCAATTAACAATCACACAAAATCACATAGAAATGCACACAAGCCAAGTGAACTACACAATGTCTCCTGCTTAAGGCTTTTCTCAAATGATTGTATGTTGTGATAAGCTGAGAGTTAGAGTTAACTACCACAGATAGTGATGTTATCTCTGATTATATTTGCGTTATAAACATATCTTGTAATACTGAGGCTATAAATGAAAATGAAAGATTCTGCATATACATATATTTAAGCTGTCCAAAGGAGCAAACAATTATTTTTTTTATTATACAAAGTGAATGCACCAAAATAGAAGACACAGACAAAAGTCACAATGTTTGGTCATTTATTATTATTTATCATCAAACTGAAATTCTGCACTTGTAAAAATCTATGAATCATGGTAGGGAATTTGGAGGACTAACATGAAATTGAAGTTTCTGGTGAGCTTCTGTTCAGCTACTTAGAATGTTTGGGTATGAAAATCCATCATCATGATTACAGAAGAAAAGAAATGTATTATGAGTCTTCGTCATAAGTAGGAATTTGACATTTTATATCTGTGTAAATGTATAAAATATGCAAATAAGCATAATTTATATTTACATGACTTTAAAAGTGTTATAATAGCATGACAGAAGACAAATATGTTCATAATTTTAAAAATTAAAAGTTAAATTATGTCTTATAAAAGATGCAAAAAGTTTAATCTGTCTCTATATTTTTTGTAAATTGAAATTTTTATTTCTAGAATAAGGCAGCTCATTATTATTTGAAGAATTTTTCTATATTTAAAATATTAGTCGATCCTGCCCCCGACTTCCCTTCTGGACCAGAGGTGAGTAACCGGGTCCAACTCGGACCCCATCCCTGGGCACCAGCCACTCCAGGAAGACCTGCCCAACTTGGCCACAGGTTCTGGCCACCGGGCGGGTCCCTTTCTAGCCCCACCGGGAGGGATCCCCTTTTCCAAGCCCCCCGGCAGCCCCTGCAATCCCCACGCCCTGCCCCCACGCCCATCTGCCCGAGACCGCAGCCACTTCCTGAGACTTAGAGACCGGCCCCCAGCTCCCAGCCTGTCCCCGACTGCCATTCTGGACCAGAGCTTGCCCCTGACTTCCCTTCTGGACCAAAGAGTTGGACAAGAGAACTCCCTTTTGGAAAAGAGAGAGAG